ACTCCAGTTCTTAAGCCACAATGCTTAAATAAGAGCTAAAATCAACTGGGTAACACCACTTGAGAAAAACTGTCTTGACCTACCTGTCTAACTCAAATCCCTTGTTTTAACCTCTAATAACACAATGTAATAATAAACACATTTGCAATTAAAAAATTGTTTGTGACTATCTCTTTTATTGATACTATAAACTGTAAACTCCACAAAATAGGGATTATGCTTGTTTTTGCTCATCATTATATCCCCAGTGTCTAGCCTAGTGCCTGTCACATACATTCAATAAAAATTTGTTAAAAGAATTAACAGATTCAAGACCTTTTAACTACTGCCCACTTAACCAACCAATAATATTGTTACTCAATACAGACATGCAGTTTCAATTACAGAGGTTATTACCTCTCTGTATCTTTCACCCTTATTCATATCTACTTCTTCACATAAATGCTTCCTCCTCTTACTACATGGTACAGATTACTAAAAATCTGTTTTACAAAACTCCTTAATATTTCAGTCCTGAGCAGCCTCGTCCAAACTTCTACATCACTCTATTTCTATACCACTTATTTGGTGCTTTTTCATATTCTGCTGTGTATCATTATATTTCATATATTTTATTTTTCTAAATATAAGCATTGTTAAGTAGTTTGTACATTCTTAAAGGGTAGTATATAGTATAATTTGCTATTGGAGTACCCAGGTACTCTGGAAATATTTGCTAAATTAACTAATGAAGATTTTTCTGTGGACTGCAATGTGACCTCAGCTTGCAGTTTATTACCAAATCCAGCAATTGACAATTCTCCTTAAAGAACATCTGAATATTTTATACTATTTCTCTATGGAATACTTCCTCCAGGGTCACTTTTGATCAGCAGTTCAAGGCAAGTGTGATGGAAGAAAATTAAAGTTATACACTATTTTAAATTTTTCTGACATAAGAGAAGTTCCATATTTAGGAATTTCTAAATACATTATAAATTAATATAGTCCATGATTCTTTATAATAATTCTATATTATCAATCCTTGCTTATATCCCGTGAAGGCAGGAGAATTTTGAAATATTTCCCATGGATTAATGTCTTTTTCAATTTCATTGAGGAAACTTTCTCTCTCTCTCTCTCTCTCTCTGTGACTGTCATCATGCTGTTAACGGAGGCTGGAAATCACTTATCATAAGCCTTTAACCCTGTGTAAAATGCAGAAGTGTATTTCAACTCTTTTTGTCAGACTAAAATCTAATTAATAATTTTTTTCTTTCAAAATCAGAGAAAATTATTCCAACTAATCTGAGTCTTATATGAAAATACAAGAGTCAAGGAAAACTAAAATTCAGACTATATGTATCACCCATTTCAAATGCAAGAATTTATCTCATGAATTATCGATTATAACTTTTGCCCATATATGCCTAAATATATATAAAACACATGTTTTCATCCTTATTCAGACCCAAAATCTTTCATCTCTTCATCCACATAATTTTTTTTAAAGATTTTATTTATTTATGCATACAGAAATGGGGTACAGGCCAGAGGTGCAGGGACGGTGAGAGGGTTCACCACACACAGAGCGGGGAGCAGAACAGGCAGATAGACGAAGTACACTGCTGAGGGGAGCAGCAGTTGCTGTCGGGAGAGGTCTGCCGCACAAGATGGGTTACCTCCGGGGGGTGGGGGTGGGATCGAACTCATGCAGAAGTGACTTTACCTTCTTAGTGCAGAGCTTTAACCCGCTGCGCCATCAGGGAGGGCCCTCATCTACATAATTTTTCATCTACAAGGTAGAGTCTTATTTTTTCAACTCTAACCATTCTTCTGTCAATGTACTCATAGGTTGTTTCCATATCTTGGGCTAGTATAAATAATACTGCAGTGAACATAGGCATGTATATATCTTTTAAATTAATGTTTTTATTTTCTTCAAATAAATACCCAGAAGTGGAATTGCTAGATCACATGGTAGCTCCACTTTCAATTTTTTGAGGAACTTCCATACTGTTTTCCATAGTGGCTACATCACCTTACATTCTGAACCAACCTTAGGTTCAGGTCCATGAGGATTTTCTTTTCATCATGCCTTATTTTTCTAGTGATAGCCATTCTGACAGATATAAGGTATGCTCTCTTTGTGATCTGATTTGTATTTCCTTGATAATTCGTGCTAAGAACATACTTTTGTATCTGTTAGCCATATGTATTTTTTCTCTGGGAAAATTTCTATTCTATTCCTTTGCCTATTTTAAAAATCAGATCATTTGTTTTTCTGTTGCTGAATTATATGAGTTCTTTATATAATGTGGATATTAACTCCTTGTAAGATGCATGAGTTGCAAATATCTTCTCCCATTCATCAGTTATCTTTTTGTTTTGCTTAAAAAAGCAAAAGCTTTTTTAGTTTGATATAGTCCCATTGGTTTATTTTTGCTTTTGTTTCCCTTGCCTTTGGTATTGAACCAAAAACACATTGCTAAGATCATGTCAAGGATAGTACTCTCTCTGTTTTCTTCTAGGAGTCTGTGTTTTCTGGTCTTACATTCACATCTTTAATTCATTTTTCTTTTTTATGGTATAAGGCAATATTGTCTTATTTTATTCTTCTGCATGTAGCTATCCAGTTTGGCTAAGATCATTCATTTTAGACAATAGCCTTTCTTTCTTGTCTCATTTGTTATAAATTAATTGACCATATATCTGTGAGTTTACTTCTGAGATCTCTGTTTTGTACTATAGTGTGAAATCAGACAGCGTGATGCTTCTAACAGCTTCACTGAGATGTAATTTACATATCATAAAATTCACTCATATTAAATGTACAATTCAACTGTTCTAATTTATTAACAGAGCTGTACCATCATCACCATAATCTATTTTATTTTGTTTTTTAAACTGGATGTGCAAGTTGTATAACCCTCATCATTCTAATTCTGGAGCATTTTCATCATTCTCCACCTCCCATTTCTTTTACCTCCCCCCCCAAAAAAACCCTCATGCCCACTTAGCAGCCTTTTCTTTCCAACCCCTCAAAGCCTAGGCAATTACTAATCTACTTTAAAAAAAAATATTTATTTATTTATGCATACAGAACTGGGGTACAGGCCAGAGGTGCAGGGGCAGTGAGAAGATTCACCAGAGACAGAGTGGGGAGCAGAACAGGCTGACTGACAAAGTATACTGGTGAGGGGAACTGCCAGCAGGTCAGGAGAGGTCTGCCACACCATGCAGATCACCTCCAGGGTGGGGACCGAACTCATGCTGAAGTGGCTTTAGCTTCTTTAACCCGCTACGCCACCAGGGTGGGCCCACTAATCTACTTTTTTGTCTCTATAAATTTGTTTATTCTTAATACTTCACATGATTAAATAATATAATGTGTGTATCTGTAACTGAGTCCTTTCACTGAGTCCTTTTTAGCGTAATGTTTTTAAGATTTATCCATGTTGTGGCAAGTATCAGCACTTCATTACTTGTCATAGTCTAATACTATTCTATTGTATAGCTATACCACAGAGGTTTATTCATTCATCATTTAATGAATATCTGTATTGTTTCCATTTGGGGACTATTAGCAATAATGCTACTTCGAACATTTGCATAATGCAGACATTCTTATTTCTCTTTTGTAGATACCAAGGAAAATTAGTACATCAGGAGCTAATCATTCATAACATGAATAATAAAATCTTTTTTTTTTCTGTTTCAAAAGGTTTTTGACAGGAAATAGGCTAGTGTAAAATTCTTTTTTAAAAAACTAGTTAATTTGCTATCAACTTGGCTGTCAACAGATTAGAAATTCTAAGATGAGGTAAGAACTTTTAGTGTAAATTATAAAACTATTTAGTTTATTAAAACTATTTAGCCTGCACTAGCCGAGGCTAATATCAAATTCTATATTTTCAGCAGGATGTATCTGTCTCCTTGTAGTCGACAATTGCTCATCCACAGTAAGGGAAGGCTTATGCAGGAGGAGAGGTAATCAGTACAATTTCAAAATGTCAGATGCTCTGATTGAACTCATTTTTTTCTATTTATTTTCACCTCTACCCCGAGCCTGTATCTCATTTTATGAGAAAACAGTGAAGCATTAATTATAATTAGTCCTGTAAATTTACGAAAATTTTTCAATAAAAGCTACCCTTTCAGAAATTGGAGGTCAAATAAACTTCTGGTCACATGTTATTTTTGGTTTAGTTCCTGGTAATGTACATACTAGTTCAAATATCTTCAGGAAGCAAACTTCAGAGAATCAAGAAATGAATTTAAAATTCTACGTAAATAAAGAGCTTAAGACACATTTTAAGTTTAAGAAAATCAAACATCTTGCAGCGGAAATTAGGAATACTGCCAAGAAAACTATCACATGTCCTACCAATCACTCAGCACTAGAGAACGCCACAGGTCCAAAATGCACACTCGTTTAAACCAATAGCACTTTTCCTCCCGCCTAAGCTGTCCCCAGGGCGGGAGAGAATAACCGAACGAGCGGCTGATGACTTTTCCCTTGGATTCAGCCTTCCACCCCCCCCAACACACATCCACCTGCTTCACGGTGTCAAGGCCACCAGCAATGGGTAACAGTGATCAGCAGCAGAGAGAAACAAACACCCCTGACAACCCACAGCTGAGTAAGCAAGAGTTGTTTACTCACGAATATGTTCCATTTGGAGACCGCTGAAGAGGCTGTGAAAGCCCAGGCACATTTTAGAAGGTTCCTAGAGGGGGCAAATAATCTTTTCTCCCTTCCCCTCCCAAATACACGTGAGCGACTAGGGTGGGAAGTATCTGATCTAGACAGTACCCGCCCCTCAGAACCACCTCGGACTTTAGAGCATCCGACCCCTACCTGGGATTGTGTAACTCCCCAAAATGGGCTCAGACACGACAGGGGCTGGCCCCAAAGCTGAGAAGTTACAGCTACCCTACAACCCCGCCGCGGCCAGCCCCGACGCGGTAGACAGCAGAGGACCCTGTTGAGAAATGGCCCTTCAACCCTCTCCCCTCACCTGGCTCGCTCCCACCTGCGGACAAGAGCTGAGATGAAAAACCGGCCGGGAGAGCTGACCTTGTTGCTACTGACAGTGGAACGGCACATTCTGCTGCTTCCCGGAAAGCGGGCCGAAGGACATTTTTCCCCCTGGAGGAAGGAAACGGGAGGGCGCCGGCCGGGCGGCGACGGGCGCGGCGGCGGTGGTCGGGGCGGGCTGTGCAGCCTCTAGCGGGGACAGTCCGAGGACTACATCTCCCAGGCTGCTCTGGGCCGCCTTGCGTCGTGACCCCGGCGCGCACGGAGGCGGTGACTCTTACCTCACAGAGGTAGCTCCTCCGCCGGCTGCGACTCGGCGCCCGCGGTCCATGGACCGGAACCCCGGGCCGACGGGCAGGAACCCGGGCCGCGATCGCCGCCTCCCCGCCCCAAGCTCCTCCTCCTCGCCTCCCACCGCCGCCTCCCGACGCCCGCAGGCTGCACTCCGCTGCCGCCGGGCTCGCCGGGCCACCCCAGGAAGCTGGGTGGCGGGTTCGCGGCTGCCGCCGGACTGAGGCCTACTCCGCCGCTTCTCAGTGCTATTGTCCCTGGGCCCGGCCCTGACCGGGTTCGGTAGGGAGGGTCGAGTGCGCCGGCTCCGCGGAAGATGCCGGACCAAGCCCTACAGCAGATGCTGGACAGGTAATGGCAGCTTTGGGGGAGAAGGTCCGCGTTGGCCCTAGCCCACCCCGCACCGGGCCTCGAGGCTCTAAGGGAGCGGTGAGCCGGGAGGAGTTCCACGACCTGGGGCCGTGGAGGGGCACAAAGTTTGCAGTCTGTACATCGGGAGGACAGAGGGGGCGGCCTACGTTCTCAGACGTAAAGCGAAACTTAAGGTGTGGCTTCTAGTTTTCTGGGGAAGCCAGTGTGAAGTGAGAGGGGTTCCTAGTAACCCACAGAATTAATGTCTTTCTCTTTCCCTCCTCTTCTCCACCCCAGTCCCCCAACTGTATTGTAACGTGCTCTTTAGGGATGTCACTGGCAAAAGAATCAATCTGCCTTCCAAGGGATTGATCCCTTTAGAACTTTTAAGATTTTCTTCAAAAACCAAGTAGGTAAGCATTTATTTGGAAAGCTTGATAGGTTCCCCTTCCCCTCCTCCATCTCATCTCCACCCTCAAAACTGTAAGGTCAGAGTATCCGCGAGGGAGCTTTAACGACGAGACCAGAGTAGAGGTTATGGAAAACCACCACGTGAGTTTTCACACTGAACATCACGTTTTACGATTCTGTGAGTTCACTGGAAAATTTTTATCATACATTGGAGTCACTTGCCCACTCCTGGGGGGCTCTAATCAGTAAAACTTACAGTGAAATCGACTCCACCGCCCTCTGCTGTTCAAATTCTAGCCCATGGGTTCAACCATGATTTTTTGGTGAGGATTAATCCACATTTCCTCTTAGCCTCATCTTAACTTGCTGGTATGGCCAATACTGTAAGGCTAACACATATTTGTAGTTGCTGACAGCTCCCAGTAGATGGTTTGCCACCCTATTCAGATAATACAGCTCATTTTTACTAAGTAAAGGTCCAACTATAAGGTGTTAAATGAAAGACCTCCCTTGAGATTGTGCCCAGTTAAGCGATCTGTCATCTCCAAAACACAAGTCATCCAAACGTACATTTTGCCGAATGACAGCCATTTCCTTTGGAGCTTAGAATTTTCACGTATCTAAGTTAATAGAAATTGTGTATTAACTTTTTCAGTTCGAGGTGATCTAATGATTAATCCACCCCAAATTTGATCTCAGTATTCAGGTCAGGTTATTGACTACCTCCATTTTGTGTGAGTTTTATAAGCTCCTGGAAAGCATTTATTTATCTTGATTCCTAAAACAGCTTGCTATTCAGCAGGTCATCAGTAAATATTTGTTTTGTAAACAAATGATCTTATTGTTTACCCCAGTTGTCTAGGTGTCTGATAACTTATCCAGTTTTTTTTTTTCATTATAATTTAGAATACTGACAAACTGCATAGCACTACTTAAAATATGCCCATAGATCAACTCCCATCACTGCCAATTTCAATCACATGGACCCTATTTGGTGGCATGTGTTTTGTGATTAATTTTTTTCCTGCTGAGAGCTTGCTGATTTCACTTGCACTGTTGGATGACTTTTAGAAAAGTACAAGTATAGGAAAGTTAACCAGGCTTTCAAATGGTCTTTGGAGATTACCACAGAAATAAAATGAAATGCAGGTGTGCTAGTATGGCATTTAAAACTCCTCTGCAGAAATTTGGAAATTCTGGCTGCATTTATTAAAGGAGGTTACTGTAATATTGACTTAATGCTTCTGTACCTTTTGACATAACTCTACACAGTGTTTTTCTCCCTCTTGCTTATTTCACTGCCATAATACCCTCTAGATCCCTCCCCTTCCCATTTGTACTATTGTAAATGGCAGGATATCATCTTTTTTATAGGTGAATAGTACCCCGTTGTGTATAAATACCACATCATCTCCATACATACCTTTGACAATGGTCATTTGAATGGTTTCAAGCTATTGGCTGTCGTCAATAATGCTGCAAAAAGCATGAGGGTGCATATGTTCTTCACATTAGTGTTTTTCAGATAAACACTCAAACGTAGGGTAACTATCATATGGACTTTTATTTTTAATTTTTAAGGTATCTCCAGATTGCTTTCAATAATGACTGTGCCAAATTACATTCCCAACAAACAGTGTACAGAGGTTCCCTTCTCTCTACATCCTCTCCAACAATTTTTTTTTGATAATAGCCATTCTCATAGGGTGAGGTGACTGCTCATTATTTTGATTAGCATTTCACTAATAAGAGATGTTAAATATCTTTTCATATGTGTACTAGTCATCTGTATTTCTTTTTTTGGAAAAGTGTTTATTTAGATATTTTGCCCAATTTTTATTTGGGTTGTTGAGTTTTATGGATTTTTTTGTATATTTGGTTATTAACCCTTCTCAGATAGATGATATACAAATCTCTTTTTTTTTTTTCAGTAGTGCGTCTCTTTTCATTTTGATGCACATTTCACTGCTATGCAGATGCCTCATGCCATTTGCAGCAAAGCAAATGGGAAGGGGAAGAGAGGAATCGAGGGGTATCATAGTAGTGAAATAAGAGAAAGACAAACTGTAATTTTGCTCCTATGTGGCACAGAGAAAAGAAAAGCTTTCTGCTGAAAGTTTGATGTAGTGTCATTTGTTGTTGGTTTTGATTGTTTGTTTTTACTTTTGCTCCTCTTGCTGTTAAAATCAGGTCCCCAGGGAACATCCCTAAGGCCAAACTTATGGTGTGGATGGCCCATGTTTTCTTCTTTGTATTTTAATTTCAGATCTTAACATCCAAGTTTTACTCCACTTTGAATTAATTTTTATGTATGATGATAGATAGTGGTCGTTTCATTTTTTGCTTGTGGCTGTCCAGTTTTCCCAAATACCATGTTGAAGAGACTTTCGTTTGTCCATTGTATGTTCTTGGCTACATGGTCATAAACTTAGTCATCCACAATGTGTGATTTTAATTATGGATTTTCAATTCTGTTCTATTCACCTGAGTTCTTTTCCTACACCATCCTGCTCTAATTACTATCACTTAGTAACATAGCTTGAAGTTGGGTAGGTTTTGTTTTTTTTTCCCCTGCAGGAGTATTTGTGCTATTTGGGATATCTGAACTTTTGGTTGTGATGGATAAGACAAATGTTTGAGAGTAGTGAGAAAGGTAATTTTTCTGGTGTCTTATGACCTAGAATGACATGACCTTTTTTTTTTTTAAAGATTTATTTATTTATGCTTACAGAATTGAGGTACAGGCTAGAGGTGTGGTGGGTGAGAGTATTCACCAGAGACAGAGTGGGGACAGAACAGGCAGATCAACTGAAATACACTACTGAGGGACTAAGGGGAGCAGCGGGCAGGTCAGAAGATGTCTGCCATGCCATGTGGGTAAGTTCCCTGGCCAGGGATTGAACTTGCGCTGCAGTGGCTTTGGAGAGCTTCATAATGCTGTGCTTTAACCTGTTGCACCACCAGGGTGAACCCATAACCTTTTACTTTTTTTAAGATTTATTTATTTATGCATACAGAACTGGGGTACAGGACAGAGGTGGGGGCAGGAGGTAAGAGGATTCATCAGAGATAGAATGGGTAGCAGAGCAGGCAGATTGACAATGTACACTGCTGAGGGGAGCAGCGGGCGGGTCAGGAAAGGTCTGCTGTGCCATGTGGATCACCTCCGAGGCCAAGTATTGCACTCACACTGAAGCAGCTGCAGCTAGCTTGAGTGCTGGGCTCTAACTTGTGCCACCAGGGAGGACCCGAATTATGACATAACCATTTTATCAAACTCTCAGAACCTTGGTCATTTCTCTTTCCTTCATTGTCATACTTAACAAGAAGTTTGTTACATATTACTCTTATACTGCTTATTTCCTAGTTTTCTCTTACATCTCTCAAAATTAGGATTAAATAATTAGAAAATAAAGTATTATAACAGACTGAAGGAATGATCCTCAAATTTGAAGAGTGGGCTTGCTGAAAGATGCTCCTGGTAACATGATTTTTTGTGTACCCCCTCCCACTCAATTTGTTGAGCTTGTTCTGTATTTGGTGAACAGGCATGGCCTGTATCTAGAGCATCCCTACAACAGTGGGAGGAAGAGCAGGGAAAATGATCTGCTCCTCACCCCTTTCCTACAGCAACAAATTAACTCTGAACAAGTTAGTGTTCACCCATATACATCCTTTAGAGAATGTAAAATATTCTGATAGGAACATGCTATATTCTGATTTATATAATCATCCCTTAATTCCCATTAAAGCAACTTCTAATTCACTTTTGGCATCTTTTTCCTCAGTCATTTATCTCACTGTCCCATTTTGACAGACCAATATTTAAAAACTATTTGCAGTTACTTCTGTTTGCTTCAATCTGTATGTAAAAAGTGGAAACACTACAGATGAAGTCCTCTTTGACCGTCATACCCCAAGTCCTATTTCTTCTTCCCCTCTTCTCTCTGTTCTTGAATGGGTTCATATTCTTCCAGTCTTCTTTATTTAACGTTTTCATATATACCATATATAATACACAGTATTGTTTTGTTTCTAAAATATAAATATATCAACCTACAGTTTGCTTCTTAAAATAGTATTGTGCTTTCTGTGATACGCAGAAATTTAAAAATACATATTCATTTTATTAACATACCACTTTTTTTCCTTTAATCCATTTTTCTACTTAAGACATTTAAGTTCTCATTTTCTCTTTATTATATCTGCTTATATTTGACTTTCATTGCCCTTAGCTCTTCTAAAAAACACAGAGGTCATCAATAATTTCTTAATCAGTAAACCAAATGACTTTTTTACTTGGTCCTCATAGTCTGGACATAAGTGGAATGAAAATGAAGCTAATGAATTGCACCCCCTACTTCCCGAAAGTTATGTTCTATTATACCTGAGTATTTCTTTATCTTTGGCTTCTTCCCTACTTGCTTATCATCTTTACTCCCTTCAGTTCCCAGCATCTCTCATTCTTTGAAAAGTGTACCCTCTTGGGCCCTCCTTGGTGGCACAGTGGGTTAAAGTGCAGCTTGCGCCACCACTGTCTGCTGCTTCAGTGTGAGTTCTGAGTTAGATCTCCAGCCAGGGAGCTGACC